TCCATTGCGTCCGCTTCTCTGCTGACGTTTCCACCTACCTTCAAGTCTGCCCACATGTTTTCATCTCTTCTTCACATGACCTCTTCCATGTCACCCCACCCTCTCACTGACGACCAACTCGCCGCTTCCCTTTCGGCCTGTTTCCGCTGGAGCAGTGGCCTGTCTAGTGATGTCACTTGATGGTTTACTCGGAGTATGGCCAATCCACTAACTCCATTTTTTCCTGCGGATTTGTTTCACAATCGGTTCCTGTTGGTTCGCTCGTTGCCAGAGAATAATTCCTGTTTCTGATCTTTTCTGGCCGGCCATCTGATCTTGAGGGAAGTATTGAGCAAAAGACAGCTATTGATGAAGGTGTGTAGTTTGTTTGAGGTGCTCTTCATGACGCGCCAAATCTCTGAACCATCCGTGTAGTAAGTAGCACTGACTTCACATTGGAGTTGAAAATCTGGATCTCATTTTTCATGTTGGGTGCTGTTGACCTCCACACACACTTGAGGGTAATGATAGCTTGTCTTGATTTCTCGATCCTTGCTTAGATATCCTCGTCAGTGCCGTCCTTTTGTATTTGAAACGATGCTCCCCAGGTAGGCGGGTAGGTGAAGGAGGCGATTTCTTTCATGTCCCTTCCATTTATGCTGATTGCGTTAAAACTGAAACTAGATAATTTTCCCTATTATATGCGTATATCGTTAGATAAACTACACGGGAAAACAGTATTATTCCCTAGATAATGTTTCGAATACAGTTTATTGTCAGGTATTGGTTTGCAGAGATTTGACATCAGTCAGCGAAACATTAGAAAACCAGGAATTTCTGGACGGCTGTTTTGTCCCAGCTCAAGACTCTTCAGTAATACTCTCCACCTCCAGGATTCGAACCTGGGATTGGACCTTCTGGTTAAAAGACAAGCTAGTAGACTGTTCAGCCACTGTGACTCGATCCAATAGCCCATGAGTTCCAACTTCTACCGATTCACGATAACGAATGTTTTAGACGAGTAACTGTTTTTTTTTTACCTGACTTTGTAGAGCCTACTTGCGGCAACTTCTGGATAGGACTCCAGCTTACTTCCTGTATCAAGGCATCAGATTAATTTTATTCTTCATAATCATCAATCTCTTGTTTTACTATTCGAAATGAATCAATTTTTAAAAATATTACTTCTTGGTTGAAGTAAGAAGGGAAGTGGGTTGGGTACTGCTAATTTTATTTTATTTTTCTCCTTTGAGTAGGAGATAAATAGAAAAGTTTTTTTTTAGAAAAAACAGTCTCCTAAACTGAATAAGAAAGCATACTATTGGTCAAATATTTTGTTTTCCCTATCTAGGGATGAAATACTCGTCCTTAATCTAGGTCAAAGGTCGCGTCATTAGTAAAGTAAGTATTATTATATCTATTTTTTCTGTTATTAATCAATATGTGGGGAAAAAGTTTTGTTCTTTTTTTTGCTTTATTTTCCTATATTGCACTTGACAGCGCTATATTGGTTGTGTGTTAAATGACTACTGTTTTTCTTCTCTTATTTTTAGAAATTTTCTATTCGCCTTTCTTGACAGAATTATACTACTCACTTTCTGAGTGGTGGTGGTGTGTGTGAGGACAGTATGTTTACATATCGCTCGGCATTTATTTATTTATTTCTTTGATTGTATAGAGGATTTCAGTTGATGATGAGCTGACATCAGTTAGAGAACCATTGGAAAACCAGATGTTTCGTCCTGCTTTGGAACTCTTCATCAGTATCCTCCCACCGGGGTTCGAACCCAAGACCTTCTGATTACAAGGCTAGCAAGCTAACTCGTAGACCATTGAGCCATTGGGACCCGATCCAATAGTCGGCCCATGAAGTCTGACTTCTGCCGATTCACGACATAGCGCGACCATTGCGCAATGTCTTCTTCTTCTTCTTCGATGAGTTACTGCCTCATGTGCGACCTGCTGTAACCTACTGGTAATCCCTATAAAACCAATACTTGAAAATTTATCTATTTGTCTAAAACACAAAAGCTGGTACAACAATATGGCACTGAGAAGATACGCTACACTCTAGTGACAAAACAACATATGAGAAAAACAGTAGCTACGTTCCCATGGCTGCCGGTGACCACTAGACAATCATACGGCATTCGATCCGTTTGCAACCCCATAGTAACTGCTTATAGTCTAACCACTATCCAAACAACCTTCTTGGCATGGTACGACCTGCAGGAGTATAAATCTCCTCCATCTTGTATCTCGTTGGGTCACTCAGAAATTCAAGCCCGATCACTATGACAAGATAGAAGTTGTCGACATAAAGTGATGGCATTTCAGACTCGTGTATAATAACACCGGCCTACTTTTATCATTTGTTTTTGTTCCCAATGGGTGGTGTATATAAGGCTTCTAGCTTGTACTTTTGATTTTTTGATTTTGATTTTTGGTTTAACAGCTTGATTCCACACTGTATTTTTGGTACAAGTATGAAATTTTCAGCATGGATATCGGTAGCCCAAATTTTGCAGGCCGACCATAGTTTCATTAGCGGTGGTGCTTTTTATTTTTTTTATATTTTTTACGGGGTGGCATTGCTAGCCTCATGATCAACCCTCCCTGTTTATCAGGCTTACAGTCAGCTAATTCCATATTAGTTTGTTTATGCTGAGAGCTGGCAGCTATCCGAATTGGTAGACAGTAATTTACGTCCTCAGTATTGGTCGTGAGAAAAATAAGAACAAAGACTGATTCAACAACCAGTCAGAGCAGACTTTGCGTAGGCGGATACAGTTAGCGTATAGATGATCTGACATTCAAGAAACAGCCACAAAGAGATGTCGGATTAACTTTCAGTGAGAAACAACCAATCAGAAGACTGCGTGTTTTTCTGCTAAGAATAATCTATAATAATGTACATGAAAATCTATAAATATGTGTTGATTTCGTAAATAAACGACCTGTTGCCTGGCCCTTGTCTTCTGTTGTTACAGTAGCACTAAGGTCTGGCTACAATACTGGTTCAGTCCCCTGATTTTTAAAACTCTTACAGTTTAATCCGGGATAACAGTAATTGCAACCATCTATCCTTCAAAGCTTCAATATTCACTTTTACAAGTTGTAGTGGCATACATTTGTGAGTATATGAGCACTATTTTCTTGTTTTTAAATGCACGTAGTTTTTAATGTGATTATCACCGTTTACTGGAATGTGAATACATTTGGGCATGCTAGCATCTAATTGGAAGGAAGGAAACTTTACAAAAACAGGTCATTTATGTTGAAAAAGCCTCTGTTTTTACGTCTCCAATTCAAGGGAGATACTCTTGCGGAGATTCTATCCCAACGTTTAACCAGGACGATCAAGAAAACTTTCTATTCTGCACGTCTGTGTCTATCCTTCACTAGCCGTCCAATGTTCACCCAGCAACTCAAAGATGCCTTACCTAACCTTAGCTCTTCTTCATGCATATACCATTTCAACTGTTCCTGTCGTTCAAGTTATATAGGGCGCACGATTAGGCAGGTTCGTCTACGGGTTCGAGAACACTTACCAGCTTGGTTCAGCAGGGGGGAAATTAAGTGCATAAAAAGCTCGATCCTGTCACACCTGGTCGATACTGGACATCGCATCGATGTCAACACAGCGTTCAGAGTTATATACCGAATTCCGAAGTAGTTATCACGTACAGTTCGCTTACGTCTCCTACACATAGCTGAAGCTGTTGCAATAAGATCGACTAAACCGGAACTTTGTATCCAAAAGGAACACGTCCAGACGCTGTTCCTACTTGGCCAACCTTGGATTGAAGATTTTTTTTCCCACCAAGAGTGCTCCTTCCCCTTTACCCTCTTGGTTTTTTTGTTTTTTTCTTTTTAATTTGCTTATTATTATAAATATTATCATTACAGTTATTATTATTCGTCACAATTTATGCCCTTTATGCAAACATTCCCTCAATACTATCGAATTTTCATTTATACGGACTTATTATTAGTGATATTATCTGTTTTCTCAATATATGCCTCCACCTGTTTCTTCATTTCACATATTCGTTATCTCACTATGAACCTCTCATTCCAGTCTTACTATATCTTGTTTAACTCAGACCACTTTATACTAGCCACTCACCTGATACCTTTTATAACCTTGAACTGATTTGTCAATTTTCCTACCCCACACTCTACAATTCTGTTATGATTAATCACCGCCATTGTCTCCCGTTTTACAATATTTTGGTAATCGATTTCAGCCAACTAGCATGTTTGTCACACAAATATGACTATTTATTTTGACACCCCATCAGTGGTAATCTGTTATTCTACGTTAAAAATGTATCCACCGCACACCTGGCTATCTTTATTATAACGACCACAAATATTATATTGTATAATTGTAAGAACCTGAAGAGACGAAATTATTGAAAAGAATATTCTTCGTTCAGATTGACTTTTATGTTGAAGCCAACCTGCTATACTCGGATTATCACAAACAGTCTAACAAAAAAAAAACATTCATTAGGGAACACTGACCTCATTATTTATTTTGCATTATTCATCCCTCACATTTTTAACGAAAAAAAACTCAGAGCTTCAGAAGCACATCTCTATTCCAGGAGAGCTTTGTGGGCTTTTGGAAATGTGTAGGACACTTGCCACTTCGCGAGTGCCCACACTATGGAAGGTTTTTCTACATTGGTACCTGAAAAAGAAAGAGAATTAGTATGGTGTGACCGCAAAGCCCAGAGGACAATTACTTGAGGTTAGTCACACACGGCTTGTTTGGACTGGTTTTTAGTAGAGTTGTTTCCGTATAAGTAACCTACCGCTGTGGTGAGAGCAGGCTGCTAGCCGATTGGTTGGCACTAATCTACGTTAAGGTCTAGGTCACTAATATGGGCCGTGAGAAAATATGAACAAGCCTGAGTCAACAACCAATCACAGCAAAGTTAACGTGGCAGAATATGATTCGCAGAGAGAACTCTATTTGTCAAGGAATCCCGAAACAACCAATCAGAAGCCTGCGTTTGTCTACCTAAACAACCAATCAGATGACTGCGCTTGTCTATAATAATGTAGTTGAAAGATGTATAAATACGTGTTGATTTTCATAATAAAACGATCTGTTGCCTGGCCCTTGTCTTCTGTTGTTACATTTGGTGTCGCTGCCTACCGACAAATGAAAAGCCTATACCCTGCAGTTTTTGATGGAGACATATGGATCTTCGGGCAGGACTTCAAGGCTTCTGCGCAGTTGAGAGGCGTTCAAGATCTGTCAGCGATGGAGCTGCTACTTGAGACGCTGCTGGGAGGTCGGGCGAAAGCAGCATATGAAGGTGTGGGCCGAAGTATGGACGAATGTTCGACAGGGTCAGGCAAACAGTTTCCAAAGTGGGAAGGACCATATATGGTCACTTCGAGATGGGGTTACGCAGACACAGTCGCAATGGCGAACAATGAGAGGCGCGTGAACGTCAGCGAGCTCCAGAAATGGATACAGCGAGACAAGCCAACGATGACGCCTGCACCAAGTAGATCAAGCCGACTTCAGTCGCACGTATTTGACGGGGGGACGAGTGTGGTGAGAGCAGGCTGCTAGCCGATTGGTTGGCACTAATCTACGTTAAGGTCTAGGTCACTAATATGGGCCGTGAGAAAATATGAACAAGCCTGAGTCAACAACCAATCACAGCAAAGTTAACGTGGCAGAATATGATTCGCAGAGAGAACTCTATTTGTCAAGGAATCCCGAAACAACCAATCAGAAGCCTGCGTTTGTCTACCTAAACAACCAATCAGATGACTGCGCTTGTCTATAATAATGTAGTTGAAAGATGTATAAATACGTGTTGATTTTCATAATAAAACGATCTGTTGCCTGGCCCTTGTCTTCTGTTGTTACACCGCTGGCTATGGACCATCTTAGCGTATGTCGGGATGTATAATTTTTGGGATTAACTTTTACTAACTCCTTACACACTCCAGAAGGGAGAGGTACCATAGATGGCGTGTTTACTATCTGAGAGAAACACCTTGCTGCTGTTACATCCCTGTCCACAAACCCCCCTCCCCAGCAAAATGCAAACAGTCATTCACTATGTCGGTAATTGCCTTTAGTCTATTCTCTGTCGTAAAAACCTTCCTGGCATGCTAGGATCTCCAGGAATATTAGTTCCAGACAGTGTAGCTTGTTGGGTCATTGTGGTATGCAGGCGCAACAACTACGTCAAGGTAGCAGTTATTGGCTGGGGAAAGCAGAAGTTGGTCACTCCACTTCTTTGCATTTAGTTCTCCGTCATCATTTTCACCAGGATTCACAACATCTCATAAGCCTTCACTTACTCTTCACATTATCGCCTTCATCATGTCATTCTTCAACGTGCAACCGGTCGCTGCCCATTCGGCTTACATATTAAAACTTCGCCTATTCCAATAATTCTCTTCATTTCCTTCTGCATATTTGTTGGATAGTAGATAATTTGATTATTTTGATTTACAGCTTGATTCCACACTGTATTTTTGGTACAAGTATGAAATTTTCAGCATGGATATCGGTAACCCAAATTTTGCAGGCCGACTATAGATACGGGTGTAGTTCGGCATAGGATCGAACCCAGGACCATGTGCATGGTCGGCGAGAGTCCTAATCACTAATTAGCTGGTTTTCTGACTACCAGAGTTCATTGTAGTCAGTTTACACTTTCCTAGCGACCATATGATATACCCAGTATCGAGCGAAAGCCTGTGCTAAGTAAGGCCTACATAGCCTCTTAAGAATATTTTAGATGACGCTGGTGCCGAGTTTCGGAACCACATTGAAGTACTAATTGACTTGACATTAGTGTTGAATATTCGGGTTTTGTTTCTTTTGTTCAGTACTGGCTGTATATCTATCTCCACACTGACTATTTCGGAATAGGGAATGCCTGTCTCTATCTCTCGATCTGATCTTGACTGGCTTTGACACCTTCATATGTGCTGCCATTTGTATTGGAGATAGTCCTACCCCGGCTAGATTTCCCTCGTTAGTGATGACTGATGTTTGTTGTTCTTTCTGTCGGATAACTTCATGACTTTTGTCCTTTCAATAATCTCCTAAAGTCCTGTCTTCCCTGCCTCATTTACCAAATTGTTGGTTTCCGCTAGTCAGTCTTCCATTTTTTGTACCATACAACATAAATCATCTGCGAAGTCCAGATCATCCAGCATTTCACGTCTATCCAGTTTACATTTATCCTCTCACTTTCCATAATCTGTTGCATGACTCAGTTAGCCACAACAATAATACTACTACTAATAATGCATTATTCCAAAACAGTACTTGTGATACAGAATGGAATTCTCAGCATTTCACTACAGTATTCCATCCAGTTTGTACATTATCAATAGATAAAATTCTACATAGAATAAGGGTAGTCACAGTTAATTTTGATATCAACATACTGGCATGTCGATAGCAAAGCCAAAATTGAACAGAGTGTTTGAAGGTGTTAGAAAAGTAGATACTATTAGCATATTTACTGGTGTAAGCGGTAACAAAACTGGTCGAGATATACAGAGTGTGAAAGAACGAAGAAGAATGTTATGAATAGAGTTTGTAAGGAAGAGAGAAACAAAACAGCACATAACAGAGAAAGGCAGAGAGAGAAATGGAAACGAAGGAAAGAAAACGTTGTACCTATAAATGATATGAGTTGGAAATACGAGATCCAGTTATTCTATTGACTATTTAAGAAGTTATAGGTATCACGCCTAATGCTTTCTTTATCGCACAGAACACTAGCTAGCTAAGTAGGGTATGGTTGAGTTGGGTTTTTGTACTTGGTAGTCCGAGCATCTAGTTTTCTATATAGGCTTCTAGTTCTGACTGATGAGATAGAAGGAGAGAATTGTGAATGAAGAGGGTGGTGTGAGTTAGATTAAATGGATTTTGAACATTTTTCGCATGAGTCTATACACTTGTCAACCAGAATATTACAAGCTGGTTAAGTGGAACGTCGCTTACCCTGCTGACAACCCTTAACATCCTACGTAATAAGATATAGTCATTCTTCAGTAGCCCTGGAAAACTAAGGGGTAACGATAGAGAATAATAGGCAGGATGCAAGAGTTAACGAATCGTAAGAGTAAGGGTTGGGTGGGTTATTCCAGAATTTCTTAACTTCTTGATGTAGAAGGGAAGACGGAATATTTTCTTAGAAATCTGATGTATATATATCCATATAATATGTGTGTTTATTTAACAGTCTGTTCTTGGTGACATGTATCCATATAATATGTGTGTTTGTTTGACAGTCTGATATATTTTGCATGTATATATGGATCGATATTCCATTATAATTAGCCAATCATCTTAAGACTGTCTGTTGATTTGTTCATTTTGAATATTCGCTCACACACTTGTGTTCACACACTTGTTCGGACATTCTTATATTTTGCTCTCACACTCTTGCTTGACATTTTGATTCTCCTGGTGTTTTGGAAAATAGAAGTATCATCGCTAACCTAGTGGTCTTCTGATTTCCGTCTTTTCTTGCGTCAGGACTATTAAATTCTCGACCAGTACATAACAATAATTTGGCGACGAGTACATAATAAAATCATCCAGATATGATCAGACGACCAGGAATGATCAGAAGATGGAATGACGCCAAGATATTTAATTTCCGACTTGGTGTCTATTTCAGTGTTATCCATCTATGTTGCACACCTCGTGAGTCCTAACCAGTTTGTTTAGGTCAATCATATTTATGCCTAAAGGTGAAATCGACTGTTTGACATTTAGAGGGATTTAAGGTAATACCGTTTTCTTTGGACCACTGACTGATTTCTGATAAAAAGCCGTTTAGTTTGTAGCAGTCACTTTGACATTTGACAGGCAAAGAGATACAGTCAGGTCGTCAGCATATTTAGCAAAATTAATGTCATTTGAAGATGTTAAGTCATGTAGAAAGAAAGAAAAAAGAAGTGGGGAGAGTACAGCAGTTTGGGGTACACCAGCTTCAGTAAGCAAAGCAGAGGAGGACTTACCTTTTTATACGGTGTACTTCATTCTGTCTGAAAGGTAGGAATGCAACCAGTTAGTGACCCAGGACTCAGTTTGTGTCGTCGAGAGCTTATTTAGCAAGAGACATCTAGGTACAGAGTCAAAAGCAGAAGTGAAGTCGTGAAACGTGCAACGAACAATCAAAAAGATCGTTGGTGAAAGTAAGCAGCCAGCGCATTTCTCCTATCTTTCCCTCAAATGCCTCAGTAATATCTCTGATTTGAATTACTTAGCATACAACATTTTCATATAGCTAGCTGTGAAATGAGGTTTCTGCAAATCATTTTTCTTGTAGCACTCTGTACTATTGAAACAGTCACCAAATTTTACTTCAAGAACAATTGACACTGTCGAAGGCTCTTTCAAAGTCAAAGCACTGACCTTAGTCTTCTCATACATAAATTCCACATCCATTCCACCTGGTGTCGCAGATTCCTAGCGCATTTTCATGAAGTATTTTGCTCATTTCTTTTGCAAACTGGGCAGCCTTCCCAGTCAACTTAATACATTGTACGAACATTCCACGTTCCCATCTTTTTATTTGCTTTTTATCGAAAGAATATATATCAGCTGGCTGACTGGCTTCCTGAAGGCTTTCACCAGCCCCCACCCCATCATTTCGGCTCTCCGATTCCAAAGAAGAATAAGTTCGTTTTTTATTATAATTTTAATATTTGTATTGTGCGCTGAAGTTCCCATTGCAGTTTGATTGATTTTCCAGGGTAGGGTCGTTAGCCCAACTCGCGACCCTCCCTCTTTTCCCGGGCTTAGGACCGGTTAGAAAAACAGTGAGCTATTAAACTAGGCTGAATTTTGCGGATGATTTATGGTTTAATATCACAAAAACTCGAAGAATTAAAGGCAAAAACCAAGAAACTGGCAGAAGAAACAGTGTAGACAAGAAATCCAGCGGTTGTTTAAGTGAGGTCAGCTAATGATCAATCATGTAAGCGATCAAATCCCTGCCAACCAATACTTGATAATAATAAGTAAGGCGATAACTAGCACAATTATAAAAGGAAATTATGAAATGAGGTAGTAAAGTAAAACGAAATTTTGGTAAAAGTGGTTACTCTGGTCATGGTAGAAAAGAGGTTCTGTTACAACTATCGGAGAAGCCGGTGTATCAGTCAGGTATAGCCAGTGTACTGGAAGTTTACTAGTGTGATACTGGGGAACTCCAGGTACCACTTTCGAGCCTATGAATTCATAAATCCTGTGGTAGATGTTCTCCTGCCATTATTACAAAAGGTTTGCAACGAAAGGAAGGTGACTACTGACTGAATGAAACGCTGGCTACCTCATCAGGGAGCCAACATAGGGCAAATAATGCCTCTACGAGAATTGGCGTGGAATCATGCTCTTGTCAACGTCAAGTAGAATACTATGTCTCATCATCCTGGAGAGAATAAAGGATGTACTGGGTGCAGAACTCCGCCAGCTCGCCGGAACAAGCTGATTTCAGGAAAGGTTTGATCATGTGCTGATCAAATTGAAACTCTACGCATTGTCATCAACAGAACAATGCATATAGAATGGAAGTCAAACGTCTATCTACCTCAACTTCATCGACTTCGAAAAGGCCTTCGACAAACAACGTTGACCGAGAAGTAATTTGGAGACAACTTCAACACTATGGAGTGCAGTTCTCAAGTCTTTATCAACCTCGTTCAACAGTTGATTATATGACAATGCCACGTATCCACAAAGGGATACTCAGTGAGGCGTTCGAGGTGAATACAGAAGGAAGACAAGGCTGACCGCCTATTATCAGCGATGATA